GGCACCTTTTAGCTCTATGCAAACCATAACACTCTGGATCCTAAATTTAATTCCCCATAAACCCATATGCAGAATTCTGGGCATTCAAGGTATTGTGCCTCTTAAAATAATCTTCAAATCCTTAACATGAATAGTAGGTAAGCGGGAAGTTCTGAGATGTTTCTACTTGCCTGCTGGATTTACTCCTGCTATGCTATTAAACTTGAAGAGCCTCAATGGGTGTTAATGGACCTAAGTCCATTAACACGATTCACGTGTTAAAGTAGAAACAAGGGTGTTGTAGGACAGGGCTAAGAGAGGCTCTACATTCAGAGCAAGACATTAAAGCAGGTAATTGTTAACCAGTTGTGGACCCACCTCACACACTATTTGGTAAGGAGTGAGGCTTACCCAACTGGAGCACAAGTAAAGAGACTGCCCATTGCTTCTGCTCTTTCTGTTCATTGAAGGAACTTCTCCTTGAACCTAAGCAGTTTATTAACCATATAATAATTTACTCAGAGCAGTAAATTATTACTTGTGAACTATGTAAAAGTTATTAGTAAGTTAATTTCAACACAAAGATATAACCAAAGGATCAAGAAGAATATACAGATAAAATGAGAATGTGATCCCAGTATTATCTACAACTACCAGTAGACAGCTGGGATGATGGCCTGAGCTCAACCAAGCGCTAAAATGTCAAGCATTGCTCTGTTCTGAACCCTCCATTCTCATCAGCCTGACTCCAGATCAGCATCAGCAACATTCAAGATTCTGTGATCCTAATTTGCCAAAATCGATCAAGAGCATGGTGTTAGCATCAAAACTAACAAACTTATAGTGTAATAAATCAGACCCTGAAGTCTTCAATCAGACTACAATCTTTTATTTGGGTGCAGATCCACCGCTACTCGATTCCAAATCTCTAACGTACAAAAGAAGTTACTTTCTTTCATGCTTTCCATAAATCTCAATGATGGGACCCATTGGAACACAAAACTTGAGTGCAGTACTTTAACACACAGTCCAGGATTATTAGCTAGTAATAACTGGGACTAAGAAATAGACAAGAAAATTAGAGGTCGTTTTAAGTATACTGGTAAGAGTAAACCCTAGCTGGGTGCCCCTCCACCTCAAAAAAAAACCCACTATGGATCTGCATCCATTTCTGCACTAAAAAGTACAATTTACTTGGGAAAAATTAATTTGAAGTAGAGCAAAACCTGCCTATCCAGAATGAACATTGGCTTTCCAATCCTTTTATTCTGACCTCAGAAAAGTGAGTATCTTCAGTACATGGAGTAGATTTAATAGACATTAAAGAAAGTCATATTCAGGAAATTATTTTTATGGCAAGCATTTCCTAAAAGGTTTAAAGTTAGCAAATGTAATTTAAAAGACTATTTATTTGTTCCACTTATTTTGAAGAAAATTGAGAGAATAACCAAGAGAAATTTATACTGATTCAATTTTTACTTTCTCAATTATTATTTGCCTAAAACTCTAGACCCTCTTTTATATATAAAAAACATATCAATGTTTTAATGTAGCCCAATAGCGATGTAATACTGACTTTAAAGAACTTTGGGGGAAGAATCTCCAATGATTAGGACTGACCCAATAAACCCTCTGGTTTCCACTAATACACAACAGCAGATCCAAAACAACTCTCAACCCCCTAACCTCATCCTATACAACACCTAGAGAGGCAAACTTACTATCCAATGGGAGGTGCCGTCTGATTTTGTTAAGACAGCTTTAAAACTACATAGGTAATTTGGAAACATACAACCTGGAATGTCTCCTTCCTTGTCCTAAATGACCAAATACTTGCCAAGTTTCAGGCATGAAGCACTGGCTGCTATACTTTCATCCATGACCTGTTAGTCTACGTTATTGGTTGGCTGTCACCACTTTTCAGACAAGTCTTACAACAAGATGATGGGAAGAGCTCATTTCTTTACCTGTGGGCTAAGACACAAAATCATAATCTGATTTATTATTGTGATAAGGTTATTGGCTATCCTATTAGCCCTCCTTATTAGTTTCTCATATTTGATGAAAGACTAAAGGCCTAAAGATGTGGGCAATTTTTTCTCCCTTTTACAACAGCCCAGAAGTTTAAAATGACATTTTTGAAAAACAAAATTAGCAAGTGAAATATTCTGTGTAGAAAAAAAATTGGGGGATATCAGTGGCTACCTCATTGGCCTTTCACGAGGATTAAAGGAGTTTACAATTGTGAGACAGCTGGGTAAACCTAAAAGTAGTGGAGAACATGGGCACTAAGCTCCACAAGGGCTGAAGTAGTCGTCTGTTTTGTTCACTAGTTACCCAGGGTCCTAGAACCGACCTTGACACATGCGGGAAATATTGCTGAATGAATGAAATATATATATATGGTCATTAGCAGTGAAATATTGCTGAATGAATGAAATATATATATATATATATGGTCATTAGCAGTGTACCAAAAACAAGGAGGGCAAAATTCATGTAGTGGCATAAGACCCCACACTACATGGCACAGTACTTTACCAAGGCATTAAAAAAACCTCATTGTCCATTGGTCTTGATTTTCTTATATATCTTATTCAGCATTTAGACTGGTGCACTCACCAAATAAAGCTTAGGGAACATGAGGGGGCACTATACGAAGCTCATTAAAAACCACATTTTGTGATTCACAGCCATCCTAGTCCACAGTAGTCACTGAACGATCAGAACTGGTTATTCATTGACCACTCAGAGAGAGAGAGAGGAAGAGATAGACAGAGGGACTGGGAGACAGAAATAGTGATTTCTCTGAAAATAATAGCTTTTCTCTCTTAGCCTCTCCTAGAACAACAATCACTGGGTTCATGTGATAGTTAAAATTTGGGCTCTCATTAAGACTTCATAATTCTACATGTTATCAAAGGAACCTCACAACAGTTGGCAAGTCAAGACTCATC